CCAGGATGAGTTCTAAGCTGTCGTCATTTTCGATTACATGCTTCCCCCCCCCCCCCCCCCAGTAGAGCCATGCACGGGCCCGGGATTTCCTCGACCCGACGCGAGCTTTTTTCCTTCCTCTATTTATATTCGCAGTCATGCAGTTTAGTACTTTCCTTCTCTCAGATTACGTGCGTGGAAAAGATGCCACCCTTACGAAAATGCCTTATAGGATTCCTATATATTCCTTTAGGAATTCTATAGAAACATATAGGAATCCTATAGGTTCCTATTGTCCCCATAGGGTTCAGTTTGGGACCTATATTGTCCCCTATAGAACCTATAGGGTTCCCTATAAAACCTTCAGTAGCAAAAAGAAAAAAAAACTTCTGTTTAATCAATGAAATATTTGGAACTCTTTTCTCGTCTCTCTAAATAGTGAAAACATGGTTGGCAGCACGGGTAAAATAGCATGCTTACGAAACCGTGCGCGTCTGCTGACGTATTTGCTTGACGAAATCATGAATTCGCTGTTCGACGAAAACTTCAAAGTAAATATAGGAAGTATAGCAGTGGAAAAGACGCATGATGGCATCGACAGTGTGATCTCGAATGACGCAGAAGAGGAGGAAAATAATTAGACGATGTGGTTCGTCGACGGTCGCCCTCTGGGTCTGGCGTAAAAACGGACTCGTGGTATAATCGCCGCCGGAAACGGAGACGGCGAGCCCGGTCGTCGGAGTCGCGGGCTCTTCGGTCGCGGGCTCTTCGGTCTCGGCCTTTCTCTGGCTGTAGTTCTATGGTGATATCATTTTTTTTATTCGCTTCGCTAGATGGCCGTCCTTGAAAGGAGGCAGCTGGGTTCTGTTGCCACGCATCCCGTGCAGATTAATTTGCGCTTACGTAAGCCTCACGCATGATGCAGCCATTAGAGCCATGCCGTTTCAAATAACGAATTTCTACTCGCAGCCATCTTCCTTCCGATCGTGGACCATCTTCGCTTCTTTTTCGCGAGCGCTAACTCCCGTTTTCCTCTCTGCTCGTGTTTCTCCTTCTTTACTCTGCACGACTAACGATGGTGAGATCCCGCACCCGGTGCATGCTTTGCCGCTGGACGACCGATCTAGGTATGAGCACGACCATCGTGAAAGTAGGGTGAGAATGCTCACCTTGGTGTCCAGCATGGTCACATGGTCACCCTCTGGTACAAACGTCTCACCCTCTTTTCAAGATAGCATCAATTTTGTTGATTGGCAGTGTACGCCATTCGGCATCGCCGCAGGCGAGTGAAGCATTCCCTTACGAAAATGTCCTATAGGATTCCTATATATTCCTTTAGGAATATATAGGAATCTTATAGGAATCCTATAGGAACCTAAAGGAATCCTATAGGATCCTATATGCCCCATAGAGTTCAGTTTGGGACCTATAGAGTTCCCTATAGAACCTATAGAGTCCCCTATTGAACCTATAGAGTTCCCTATAGAACCTATAGATCCCCCTATAGAACCTATAGGGTTCCCCATAAGGACTATAGGTTCCCTATAGGACCCAAAGGGTTCTGCATAGGACCCGTAGGGTTCCCTATGAAACCTATAGGGTTTCCTATAGGACCTGCAGGGTTCTCCATAGGACCTATAGGATTCTCCATAGGACCTATAGGGTTCCCTATAGGACCTATAGGGTTCCCTATAGGACCTATAGGACCTATAGGGTTCCCTGTAGGGCTTATACGGAACCCTATAGGCCTATAGGGTTCCGTTTGAAGTTCTCATCTAGGCCACTAGATGGAAGTATTG